TTATTTCTTAGATACACAGAATATAACTGGATACTAACATTTATAGAAAAAGTTGATCCAGGGAATATCCGATTTCCTCTCGGGGGGGGGGATCAGGAAGGAAATTTTGTTCTCCCCTGCAGGAGCAAATTGGATCATGCTTTGCTGTTTTTTGTGTTTGTTTTTTTTTTTTTTGGGGGGGGGGGGTTGCCTTCCTCTGGATCAACTATGGGTATAAAATGTATTTTTACATGTGTCTGTGTGGTATGTATGTATGTATATGTAGATGTGTATATATATATATGTGTGTGTGTGTGTGTACATATGTATATATATATATATAATGGTTGAACTAGATGGGCTTTTGTCTTCTTTCAGCCAGACTATGTAAAGCGTTTTTGTGCATTGTATCAAAGTGTGCAATTTTGAGCACGTTTCCGCAATGCACATAGGTAAACCTAGCCTAAGAATGATACTTAAATAATAAATATGTAAATAACAAACAAAAACATAAGTGACAGTACACAAATAATGTCTGTCCTCTCTTCTACCTCCCCATCCATCCCTTCCTCCATTTTTGGCTTTATTAAAGCATTTATAATGTCAGATATTAAGTGACCCTATGACACCCATACGTCAACGCTGCTGGAGAATAAATCCATTTTTATTAATGTTTAATATGCTAAAATTGAAGACCTAACGCAACCCCTAACCCATAAGTTGAATCTGTGCATTTTTAGGTCCATCCTTGTGCTCTGGCCCATTCATAATTGATGGGCTGCCTTATTGCAATGCAAGTTAACATACTGCTATGGGCCACATGAATGTGAATCCTGCCTAATGCAGAGGATACTGTGCGTTCATTAAAGATATGTGATTGGATGAAAGGTTTAGTGAAGTATACCACTTCATAGAGGTTGATACAAAAATGAAAGAGTGACAGATGAGAGGATTACTGGGTCTTCTCTTTCAATGAAAGTTGCAGATTTTTTTTTTTTTTTTTTTTTTCACCATTTTAGTCATTATTATTAGTGTGTCCCTATCTTAAACTTACCCCTTAGAAGCAACTTCCATGTAAAAAAAAGCTGAGGTTCATCATCAGTGTGTTTTTTGTTTTTGTTTTTTGTTTTTTTCCAGCACTGATGCAATCTCCCAGTCATCAAGATACCACATTAATAAGCTGAAATCAAAGACCTATAATATGACCCTAACCTATAAAAACAACCCAGAACTATCAAATTGGATGCTATAACCTTAAAGGGTAACTCCACTTTTGTGGGAAAAAAGTGCAAAAAAAAAAAATATATATTGCATACAATTGCTACATGCATCACATTGTAATTGAAAAGGAAAGGACATTTGTAATTACATTCAATCTGCAGCGATGTAACCCTCTGTAAAATTCAATGCAATATGGCAATCTGGAGGCGTTCTGTACACAGATGGTGTATACACTGCCCCCCCCCCCCCCCCCAGAAATGTCATTTCCTGCTTGTGTGATTGGCTCCCTGATGTTCCTAGAAGTCTGCACTAAGATACAAGCAGGGGCGGACCAACAACTCATGGGGCCCCCGGGCAATAGGGGATCATGGGGCCCTTGTGTCCTTGCCCAAACTCAAAAAAGCCTATGAAAAAGTACCAGGGGCATGTCATGGGGCTCCCTACTGACCCCGGGCCCTCGGGCAGTGCCCGAGTTTCCAAATGGTCAGTCCGCCCCTGGATACAAGTCTTATTTTGGACATCCCTCGCAAAAAAGTAATTTTTGGTTTGACAATCCCAAAGAGAAATCGCATCTAAAGGGTTTCAGAACCTGCCACTTTCCTCATTAGAACCCAACCAAACCGTTATCTCTTCAGAATAACAAAAGGTAGGAATATGCAACAAAGTTTGGTAAAATCCCTGCAATGTCATTGATAACCAAGGGGAATGTTTGTGGGGTTTTTTTTTTTTTTTTTTTCAACAAAAGTGGAGTTGCTTTTTAAATTGCAAAGTTTCAAACAAGGATAATATTTATTTTTGGCCACGTGACTGAGTGTAAAGGTAAGGTATTTTTTGGGGTGGGCAACTGACTTATTTCAATGAGATTAGAAAATAAAAAAAAGTAACAAACCTTTTGTTTTGTCTTTAAATAACAAACATACTATACTTACCTGCTCTGTGCAATGGGCTCTGAGCAGCCCCGATCCTCCTCCTCCTTCTGGGTTCCCCACCGACACTCCAGGCTTCTTCTCTTTAGTGAGTGCCCCCATGGAAAAGCTTGTGCAGGCTTGCTCCTGAGCCGCCCTGTCTGCATCTGTTTACTTATTTCAGGTACTTATATAGCGCTGCCAATTTACGCAGCGCTTTACATACATATATATATATATATATTACATTCACATCAGTCCCTAACCCTCAAGGGGCGTACAATGTAAAGTCCCTAATTCACATTCATACATACACATACTAGGGCCAATTTAGACAGGAGCCAATTAACCTACCAGCATGTCTTTGGAGTGTGGGAGGAAACTGGAGTACCCGGAGGAAACCCTCACAGGGAGAACATGCAAACTCCAGGCAGGTGGTGCCGTGGCTGGGATTTGAACCAACGACCCTAGTACTACCAGGCGGAAGTGCTAACCATTTAGCCACTGTGCTGCCCTACATCTGCTGACACAGAGCGGGTGGCTTGGCCCCAGCTCTGCCGTCACAGCATTTTAAATTCCAGCAGTAGGAGCCAACAGCTCCCGCTGCTATCAATCTGCCCAGTGAGGAGGGAGGCAGCTGCGGGAGCCGCTGCTCTCATGCACGTTATCGGATCGGGCTCAGGTAAGGATAAGGGGGGGTTGGGGGATCCCGCAGCACAGAAGATTTTTCACCTTAATGCATAGGATTCATTAAGATTAAAAAAAAAAAAAACCTTAAGGCTTTAGAACCACTTTAACCACTTCACGTCCTGCAGAAGCGGGTTGACATTTCTAAACGTCACCTGCATTCATTCACCGCCTGTGTGCGTTCCCTGGGAGCGCGTGGCACCGATCGCTGTGTGATGTCCTGATTCATGTGATCACTAATTGGCCAATCAGTGATCACATGAACAATAGTAAACAAGATGTCGCTTCCTGACATCATTGCTTACTACTAGTGAAATCTGTGAATGATCACAGAGGTCACATGGTACAAGACTATTCACAACAGCCTTGTACCATGTGACAAGCTGTGACCAATCACAGCTCTCACAGTATTTCTCAATGGCTGCAGGAATGCAGCCAGAGAAGGAGAAATTATTTCTTTTACAGGCTTTATGGGTGTAAAAGCAATCAGTGTAAAAAAAGAAGAAAAATTATTTTTGGTTTTAAACTAATTTGTTTTTTTTTTTTGTTTTTTTTGTTTTTTTTTTTACTATAGATAGCTGAATACATCTTGGCCAAGATTTATGAAGGATTTATTTGCAAAATTGTATAAGAAAAACACTTTTTTTAAAAAAAAAAACATTTTTGGACTTTTTCATGTACATAGCAAAAAAATAAAAATCCCAGCGGTGAATAAATACCACCAAAAATCCCAACGGTGAATAAAAACCACCAAAATAAAGTTTTTATCTGTCTCAAAAAATGCTAAAAAGTTCATATGGGTACAGTGTTGCATGACCGCGCAATTGTCATTCAAAGTGTGACAGCGCTGAAAGCTGAAAATTGGCCTGGGCAGGAAGGGGGTGAAAGTGTCTGGACTTGAAGTGGTTAAAATAACTGTCAGTTTAGAAAAAAAGTATCTCTATCCTGTTAGCTTTGTGGTTTTAGCCATATAGATTTCATTCACCAAGATAACATATAAGGACAGAGCTGCCTTAATGCATGGACACTGCCCAGGGGCCCAAGGTGCATGGCGGCCCCATGATCATCTTGCACTGTATCATACTTGCCAACTGTCCCAGATTTGCTGGGACAGTCACTCTTTTTACTAAGTTGTCCCGGGATGGCCTGGGAAACGTTCCAGGATGGTCTGTACTGTGCCCTCCTGATCCCAGTATTGTGCCCTCCTGACAACCCTCCCACCCCCCGGAATGTGCATTTCTGCCCCCCACATACTGTGCCCTTTTGTGTTGATTAGTGTTTGGTTTATGGCATGTTTTCTTATTGTTTAAAATCAATTTTACTGAAAGTACTAATACTGTGCATACATGTTTAATTCTATCCAATTATTTATACTTTCATTCTTGGTGTGCATATATTTGGGCAGGCTGGTAGGGGCCCCCGTGCATTACTTTGCCCACGGTCCTATTATGCTATTCAGACGGCCCTGCATAAGGATAATGATCCTTATATGTTAATTAAAGTAATAAAAATCAAACAATTTTTGTCTATTTCCTGCTATAGTTATTTAAATTCCAATGGGATGGGGATAAAAAAAACAATCTTTGTGAATTGAGCCCTAAGGCTCAATTCATGAGGGATAAAGTGGAAGAAAAGCCCAACTCTAACTATGCTTAAAACCCTTCCCTCCCATCTCCTGCATACCCCATATAAATAAACCCATCTGTGTATTATTATACTGGTTTATATAACTAACAGTTTGTGCAGAGCTTTGCCTATTTTTAACCTGCTCTGGTCTGGTCACATGATCCAACAGCTCTGGCTCCCCTGTGCAAGCTGCAGGGAAAAGGAGGGAGCACTGACAACAGCTGGGCCAGGGGAGCCTATAATTGACGTTACAGCTCCAGGAATTCACAGCTGTTGTCTACTGCTGCTTTACACAGGGGAACCACAGCTGCTGAATCACGGGACTGGACTGGATTAGAAAAATGTAAATACACAGATCTATTTAATACAGGATATGCAGAATGGGTAGGAGGAGGTGGGAGGGAACATTTTTAAGTATAGTGTTACTAAACCCAGGACCCTGCATTTACCATATCCGCTCTCCCCGGACCCGGCATTCACTATATCCGCTCTCCCCGGACCCAGCATTCACTATATCCGCTCTCCCCGGACCCGGCATTCACTATATCCGCTCTCCCCGGACCCAGCATTCACTATATCCGCTCTCCCCGGACCCGGCATTCACTATATCTGCTCTCCTCGGACCCTGCATCGACTATATCCAGACCCTGCATTCACTATATCCGCTCTCCCTGGACCCTGCATTCACCATATCCGCTCTCCCTGGACCCTGCATTCACTATATCCGCTCTCCCCGGACCCTGCATTTACCATATCCGCTCTCCCCGGACCCTGCATTCACTATATCCAGACCCTGCATTCACTATATTCGCTCTCCTCGGACCCTGCATTCACTATATTCACTCTCCTCGGACCCTGCATTCACTATATTCGCTCTCCCCGGACCCTGCATTCACTATATCTGCTCTCCCTGGACCCTGCATTCACTATATCCACTCTCCCCGGAGACTGCATTCACTATATCTGGTCTCCCCGAACCCGGCATTCACTATATCTGCTCTCCTCGGACCCTGCATCGACTATATCCAGACCCTGCATTCACTATATCCGCTCTCCCTGGACCCTGCATTCACCATATCCGCTCTCCCTGGACCCTGCATTCACTATATCCGCTCTCCCCGGACCCTGCATTTACCATATCCGCTCTCCCCGGACCCTGCATTCACTATATCCGGACCCTGCATTCACTATATTCGCTCTCCTCGGACCCTGCATTCACTATATTCACTCTCCTCGGACCCTGCATTCACTATATTCGCTCTCCCCGGACCCTGCATTCACTATATCTGCTCTCCCTGGACCCTGCATTCACTATATCCACTCTCCCCGGAGACTGCATTCACTATATCTGGTCTCCCCGAACCCGGCATTCACTATATCTGCTCTCCTCGGACCCTGCATCACTATATCCAGCCCTGCATTCACTATATCCGCTCTCCCTGGACCCTGCATTCACCATATCCGCTCTCCCTGGACCCTGCATTCACTTATCCGCTCTCCCCGGACCCTGCTGCTCCCCGCTCTCCCCGGACCCTGCATTCACTATATCCGGACCCTGCATTCACTATATTCGCTCTCCTCGGACCCTGCATTCACTATATTCACTCTCCTCGGACCCTGCATTCACTATATTCGCTCTCCCCGGACCCTGCATTCACTATATCTGCTCTCCCTGGACCCTGCATTCACTATATCCACTCTCCCCGGAGACTGCATTCACTATATCTGGTCTCCCCGAACCCTGCATTCACTATATCCGGTCTCCCGGGACCCTGCATTCACTATATATCCGGTTTTCCAGGACCCTGCATTCACTATATCTGGTTTCCCAGGACCCTGCATTCACTATATCTGTTTCCCAGGACCCTGCATTCACTATATCTGGTCTCCCACAGTACACACAACATGGAAATACAATTATTTTAGTAAATATAAACTAAATACATTTTCTCATCAGTAGTATATAGCAGTCTTGTGACTTCTATCAGTGCCCAGCACTAGCTAAAGCTTGTAGGAGGAGTGTTCTTTCTGTTCTAGGAGGATGCAGGACCCCTGACCTCTGTCTGACCAGTGCTGATTGGCTCACATGCACTCTCCTAAGAAGAAGAGGAAAAAAAAACCTCTCTAGCAATACACACCAAACTGAGCATGTGCAAAATGCCTACGGTTCAGTCTGTCTTATCAGGAGATAAGAGGTGGTCGCTTGAAAAGGGGGAGCAACAGAGAAGAAAGGATCCCACGGCCTTTTTACACAATGCAGAGGATTAAACCCTAAGGTTCCACAATGAGTATAACAAGCATGCTTTACTGCATATACAGACTGATTTTACCGTTGTGGGTTTAGTAACACTTTAAGCCGGCCATAGATGGATCAGATCCCTGCTGAAGCGGCCGAGATTCAATCCATCTAAGGGCAAGCTGGTTTTTACTGAAGTTGATCCATCTATCGACTTGGCTACAACCAGCCTGTCAGATGTTCTTCATGTGATTACTGCCGGCGGCTATAGCCACTAGCAGTGATCATTGTGTTCTGGCAGGGAAGGCTCCCCACCAGAAGAACACAATAACTCTACAGGAGGCATTCCCCCATCAACTCTGACTGTGTTGATGGGAGAATCGAGCAATTCTCTTTCCTGAAACCCGTGTTTGCAGGAAAGAAAATCAAATAGTCTATTGCTTTCCTTAGGTGTAGCCTTTAATATCACTTTATCCACACCCTTATACCTGTACATTCTCGGGTTGAAATGGCTGTACCGACCTCATGGCGTCAGCTGCCGCCATGATGCCAGTACCAAACTTTTCTGCTAGCAATCAGCCTTACTGTAGAAGTGATCAGAGTGGCTCTACAGCCGACCGGTCATATCTAAAGGGTGTGGAAGGGTCCCAACTGCAGTCATTCCCAGGCTGCCAGAGCCTGGGAGTGCTGGAACCAGTCCATTGGGCTGCTCAAAGAGGAAAGGCAGGTATATCCATTTCCACCCCTCCTCTGTGGCGTCAGAAACTGGAAGTGATGATGGTTTAAACCACGCCGGGTTTCAGTTTGTTGATTACAAGCCGCTACAGGTTTGAGCAGATGCCTTTTGAGGACAGAAGAAAGATCTGGGGTCTAATAGACCCCAGGTATCTCATTAAAGAGGACCTGTCACTGCCCATGCTATCACAAGGTATGTTGTTCATCCCTTGTGATAGCAATAAAGTTGATAAAAAATAAATTAAGGAAACAGTATAAAAATCAAGTGCTCCCATCCAAATGCGAACGCATATGTAAATGGTGATTGTAACACACATGTGAGGTATCACCGCGAACGTCAGAGCTAGAGAAATAATCCTAGCACCTGACATCCTGTGTAACTCTCAACTGGTAACCTGTAAAGGCTTTTCAAGTGTCGTCTATAGGGATTCTTAGGTAACTTAGTTTGTCGCCATTCCACAGGCGTATGCCATTTTAAGGTGTAACATATTGGATATTTCTTTACTTGCCAAAAGATTATTTTTTACATTTTACCAAAAAATTGGGGTTTTATTGTGTTTGTACTAAAATTCATTAACCTCCCTGGCGGTATTCCCGAGTGTAGCTCGGGGTAAAGTTTCAGTACCACAAGCGGTAACCCCGAGCTACACTCGGGCTTACCATGCAGCGCTGCTCCGGGATCCCTCGATCACTTACCTTGTCCTGCGCTCCCTCAATGTCCCTCCTGCAGTGTCCCCGGCAATGTAATCCGGTGCATGCCAGCATCTGTCATCTGGGTTCCGTCCCCTGCGAGCATCGGGACGTACGGGGGACGGAATGGCGGGAAATTTGAAAATGACAAAAAGTGACATTCACTAAAATCACATAATATAACATTCCTGTTTCAAACCATTTCACAAACATTTTGTCCCGAGTGCTTTGTCCTGCGCCCTGCCTGCATTTTGACTGTTCTTTCTGCCTGGAAACTGAGAAACGTCCATGGCGTCCAAAAAGCGTCCCTTTAGGTCAAAAGCAGCTTTACACCAGCTACAAAACAGCGATAGTAAATCAGAACTACTTGCAGAATTGAGTGATAATGATTCGTGGGGAAATTCGTCATCAGACACTGAAAACGATTCTGCAACTTTGCTCAGTGATGTGTGAACTTGGCGCTATATTTCAAATTTCAGTGTTTTTGGTGAGATCTTGCGTGGAGCCCCAGATCGAGGGAGATTATCAGTGGTCTTGTATGTCTTCCATTTTCTAATTATTGCTCCCACAGTTGATTTGTTCACACCAAGCTGCTTGCCTATTGCAGATTCAGTCTTCCCAGCCTGGTGCAGGTCTACAATTTTGTTTTCTGGTGTCCTTCGACAGCTCTTTGGTCTTCACCATAGTGGAGTTTGGAGTGTGACTGTTTGAGGTTGTGGACAGGTGTCTTTTATACTGATAACAAGTTCAAACAGGTGCCATTGATACAGGTAATGAGTGCAGGACAGAGGAGCCTCTTAAAAAAGAAGGTACAGGTCTGTGAGAGCCAGAAATCTTGCTTGTTTGTAGGTGACCAAATACTTATTTTCCACCATAATTTGCAAATAAATTCTTTCCTAATCAGCCAATGTGATTGTCTGGATTTTTTTCTCATTTTGTCTCTCATAGTTGAGGTCTACCTATGATGCCAATTTCAGGCCTCTCTCATCTTTTTAAGTGGGAGAACTTGCACAATTGGTGGCTGACTAAATACTTTTTTGCCCCAGTGTGTTTCCATGCAAAAAAAATGTACCGCTTTGAGCACAGAAATATGGACATAATCAGACTGCTAGGGAGGTTAAAATATTGTGCAACATAAAACATTTCAATAACCTCCATTTTATTCTTCTTTAATAAAAAAATATCTAATATTTGGAAGATCTACAATGTAAGTAATTAGAAAAAAATGCAGATTTTAACATGCATGTGAGAAAAGCCAGAACTGGCCCAGTTTTGAAGTGATTAAGACTATAAGGATCTTTGTTTTCAGGCATGTGCCACATCTCATTGGAGCTCAGCTGAAATAAGGATCCTTGATGTGTTGGCTTTCTGAGTTGCAGCTTATGTTTTAGGATTGTGTTTAATTTCAGCATATAATTATTGAACAAGAATAAAAATTTTAAATATTTTCCAGCAGTTTTTTTTTTTTTTTTTCTGGCTGTCTTCATGGTGTAAAAAGTGTATAGAAGATGTCATTAAAATGAAATGCAAAAACTGCCTGATCTAAACTGTCCACGCCGTATATTTCACACACTCGTATACAGCTTTCCGAATAACAATCTTTTGTGACCTGGGGGCTGAAATCTCTCTTTAGAGACTCAGTGTCGCAGAAGAACACATCCAATTTAATAAACAAAGTCACTTTGTCATCGTGTTTTCTAGACATGACAGTTGAGTTTTATGTCAGGAAAAGGGACAAATGCTGCTGAAGAACCTCAATATTTCCACTTTTCCATAGAACACATGTCTTAGGAACAGATTTACTAAGTGGTGAACTTTTTTTTTTTCCCCATATACTTCTGCGGATATTAAAATCTACGCAATTCCAGTCACCAAAATCTCATGTAACACCCTAGTGTAGAGTAGGCTTTTAGGCAAATTTAGCTCCACTGAAATTCAAGAAGCAGGGGGTTGATTACTTAGGACTGTTCAGTGTTGTACAGGCTGCTGCTCTGTTACTCCCCCTGTCTTCTAAAGGATTCTAGAACCAAGGTGGGAGGAAGACCAGGGCATGCCACCTGAATATTTATGAAACTCCAGCCAATCCCTGGGGAGGTGTGACCAGAAGGTGGGGAGAGAGTCCATAATTTAACACCTAAGCAGCAGGGTGCTGTTACTGGACCTAGTTCTGCAGGAGGGGACTTCAACACAGGGACAGAAATATGGGGGGATGCCAGCCTGAAGACACTGAGGTCCCAGCTAGGCGGCCTATTTTCAAGTCCTGATCCAAGGATTCAGTTGGGTCAGGAGAAAGGTCACGTGAGAGAACCAGGAGGAAGTTGTGGGAGAGAGCCCAAGTTATCCAAGAGGCAGTATGAGTCTACATCTCCCTCACTGGAAAGAGCCTGGTGGATATCAGCAGGAGGAAATGGGAGGAAGCCAGCCTGAAGATACTGAGGTCCCAGCTATGCTTAGCTGGGGGCCTATGTGCAAGTCCTAATGCAAGGATCCAGTTGGGTCAGGAGCAGGGGCAGACTGACAACTCATGGGGCCCTCGGGCAATAGGGGATCATGGGGCCTCTGTGTCCTTGCCCAAACTCAAAAAAGCCTATGAAAAAGGTACCAGGGGCATCTCGTGGGGCCCCCTACTGACCTCGGGCCCTTGGGCAGTGCCTGAGTTTCCAAATGGTCAGTCCGCCCTGGTCAGGCGAAAGCTCACATGAGAGAACCAGGAGGAAGTTGTAGGAGAGAGCCCAAGTTATCCAAGAGGTGGTGTGAGTCTACATCTACCCCACTGGGAAGAGCCTGGTGGATATCGGGCAGGAGGCCACCGATCAGGCTCTGAGGAAGAGGCTAGTTCTCAAAACGCGTCAGCCATTTTGGATGTCCAATTCGCACTGCGTTTCTGAATGGTGATGAGAATGGACAGAGCGGTCTCATATGATGTGGTTATATTCATGTACTTTTTGTGAGTAGAATACCTTTTTTTTTTTTTTTTAATTTAATAAACATATTTTTAAAGGTAATGCACAAGGCCAGTGCACCCTCTGTTTTGTTTTTCTCTCTTAATGCTTTTGGACTTCCCGGTTCTTTGAGGGCAGCAAGGCGTGCATATTCCAAGACATTCGTTGTGTGATCCCTTTGACATAGAGTCCATCCCTAATCACAGGAGTATTTGGGTTTTCGGCCACCGATGAGTACAAGACCACAGTGCTGCAAAGTGTAACAGCGTGTAGCTTTAAACTATGGAAGGAGTACAAGTCACAATTGTGGCAAT